GGCAGGGGCTGCTGCTTTTTTTTTTTTTTCTCAGTTCAAAAGTAAAAAAGGGAGAAACTCTGCTCTTCTTATAGAGATTCAAATCTGCATTTCTCTTGATTGCCCACAAGGGACAGATGGAAAAAAAAATAATAGCAGAAAGTATGCATGATGTACCTTGGGAAAGGACGGTCCCTACAGATCCCCTAGACTTGGTGGAAGTCTTGGGGCAAACCAAAATGAAATTATAAGTCTCAATATATAATGAAAAGCCTTGAGAAGGAACGATCTTGATGTCACAGGAACTTTGTAATAAATCCATTGGGAAATAATTGCTTACATTTCCAAATAAGTAAAGAAATAGACGATAATAGGCACTGGTCCCGTAGGAGTAGGGATTTTGACTCACTCTCTGTAGGAATTTTCTTATATAGAATTGACCTACTATGACCCTCAATTCCCATACACTATCCCCCTGACATATTGATATTTACAACCCTTGTGGGATTGTGAATGAAGACATTTATATTACATTGATGTAGGTGCAATTAAAGAAAATTGGATCTATTGAGCACCTGTCCAGTGAATCTAATATTTCAAAGACAGAAAGAGAAAAAGGACAACCACTCTCATTCTTGGGCTAACTCAGTTCCACTGGCTCCCAGACAACTAAAATCTTCAGGACAAAACCAAACTTTATGTCTGGTCTGGTCATGGAAGAAAGTTTAGAAATGTAAGAACATCTCTTCTCACCCCCACCCCTGACTAGAGGAAGAAGGTTTCAGCACCTCTGGAGTGGCAGTGATATGTTCCAAGACATCCTCTGTGATTGGAATATAACTGGCTCTTACCACGTATGTTTCGTACACTTATGATCCAAACAGAAAAAAAAATGTATGCCCAAGTATATTTTACAAATATGCCAAAGCAGAATATGAAAGCTTTCATAACTCTGAATTAGGGCTGGCCACTTGTCAAGAGAAGCAACAAACTCCCTCGTTGCTTCAAAGTTCCACTGTTTTCAATGAAGAGGCAGGCAGGAACTTGCCCTTGGAGATAGACCATGCTATAATTGGAATAAAAGTTATTATAAATGTGCTAAAGTATGAAACTTAATGGGTGAGTGTTTCATAAATACTCTCAAGTTAGTAACTTTGCTTTTTACTCCCACTACAACACAATTTTAGTAATTACGCTTGAGAGATTTAAAGTGAGGAGATATAATTATGACAGTACTTGTGTTATTCTAGGTCCTCCAAGAAGCAAAAGCCAAGAGAGGATCAGATATGCAAGAGATTTATTAAAGGAAATGCCTGTGAGAGAAAATGTGGAGGGAGCCAGAGGAGGCCGGGAGAGCCACCATTAGACTGCAATGTAGGTTTAACCCTTGGGAAGGAGAGAGCAAAGGAAAGAAAGGCTTCCACTGAAGTACAGGTCTCAGAGAGTTTCTTTCAGGATCATGAGGAGTCCTTGAGCCAAACTCACCCATCAGGAGAGTCCCATGTTTTCCAGGAATGGGCCTGCCTTAGGATCCTCACTACATTTAATCACCAGCCTGGAGAAGCCCTTGGCAGCATGGCCTTGGCGCCAAGGATTCCAGAGCACACCAGCTGGGGCCAGCTGGCAATTTCATACCCACCCCCTGCAGCTGGACATCCGAGAGGAACATTTTCATCGCCACCACAGGACTCATTCTTAAAGCAGCTGTAGACACCTGTTCTGGATCATCTTAAATAGTGACTTAGTAAACCTCCCCAGTAACTCATAACAGGAAATGTCCATAGGTGGATTCATCCATCTCTGTTCCTAAATTAGAGTGTGGCTAATTCTTTCCAGATTCTTAAGGTCCTTAAAAGAAAGAATATATGGTACCACATTAAGTTAAGCTCATGACTGAAAATAATTTAAGAAGGAGGCCAGTGACTATTAATACTAGCCCACAATTAGAAGGCACACGTATGAGTTATCCCTGCATTTGGCGTAGTGATAAACTGCAATTACTGCAGCAATTTCTCTCTATTTGACAAAACATGGACTGATGTACCACTGGTAAAAATAATATTTCTGATTTCTGTTTGCCTCTTGTATATGCTGGACAATGAAGTATAATATTGTTTATGTATATTTATTTTGTATAACCCAGAAAGAGTCTGTCATGGAAGCACAAAAAGTATGAGTTAGCCTGCCTGACTTAAGCAAATATAGATCTACCCTTGGAACTGGAGATGACTTCATTGTTCCCTGAATCTCATAAGGGAGAAGTGGATTATCTGATTAAAAAAAAAAAAACAGATTTGGTTAGAAAGGACAATAGGAGTAGTGTAAGGAATAGATGTTGAGGAGGCAACCACAGTGTTTACTAAATGGTGCTTTCAAAAAATCTTCCTCCAAACTGTAGAATGGAATCCAAACTCCCTAGTATGGCAGCCAAAGTTCCTCTAAACCGCGCCCAAACTTCTCTTTAGAGCTAGCACTATGCAAGTTCTGCTAACAAGTTTCAGTCACTATGAATATTTTGTCTTTCTCAAATTAAGCCTTTCACATTCATATCTCCGTGCTTTCGAATATTATACAGTCTCACGTTGTAATACCTTCCACTCTTATCTTCCCACAAATATACATTTTTCTAAGCTGAATTTCTGTGTCACCTTCTCCGCACATTCTTCTCTAATCCTTTGATCAGAAATAATTGCTGCTTCTTTTATGTGCCCTTGCACCTAATTTGTAGCCAATTTTGGTATAGTTGTTTTCATGTCTTTTTTCCTCTCAGATTTACTGACCATAATAGCATTTCTATCTCCCAGAGTACGTCACAGAATAAGTCCAGTAAGGAGATAAATGGCTTCTGTTTTCTCCCAAGTCAAAGGAAACATCTGGGGCCTGCACTTTTGCTTAAGTAATAACCATTTCGAAGCTTATCCAACCTGCCTTATTTTTGTTGTTGTTGTTGTTGTTGTTCTGTTTTGTTTTATTTTAGACTTCTAGCAGCCTGAACTCATGGTTTTTAGTTTCTGTCTCTAGTGAAAGAAGAAAAAAGGGATGAGGAAGGGGTTTTACTCACCCAACCAGAAACAGAAACTAAGAACCCATGACTGTATTCTCTGTCAGACACCATTTAGGCAGAACGTAAATGCTGCTCCCTCCCTCCTATCCATCCCTCCCTTCCTTCCTCCCTCCCTTCCTTCCTTCCTTCCTCTCTTTTTTTAATGAGCCATTATGTCGATCCTATGTTGTTAGGTTCCATTCCTCAGGCAGCTCCTGCTCCCAAATGGCAGGTACTTTCTGCTCTCTGACCCTGGAAAATCACCTTTGTTTAAAGCCCTTTCTTCTATTAGAGCAACACCAAAATACTCTCAGGAGTTAATTTCGAACAATAGTGGTGCTTTACCATGAGGAGTGAGGTTGATGGCTGGAGTGCAGTGGCATGATCTCTGCTGACTGCAACCTCGACCTCCCGGGTTCAAGCAATTCTCCTGCCTCAGCCTCCCGAGTAGCTGGGATTACAGGCCTGCGCCACCATGGCCCGGCTAATTTTTGTATTTTTAGGAGACGGGATTTCACCATGTTGGCCAGGCTGGTCTCAAACTCCTGACCTCAGGTGATCCACCTGCCTCGGCCTCCGAAAGTGCTGGGATTACAGGCGTGAGCCCCTGCACCCGGCCCTGAGTCAGCTTTTAACGTGGAACTTTACTGACCCACTTTTTTGATGTCCATCTCCCACTTCAACTCCCAAAGGTCTGTTGTTCCCTGATATGAAGCCTAAGAACTCAATGTACTTCACCACGCGCTGGATTTCTAACCTGAATTATTCCAAATTCTGGCAAGTCTTATCCACACTTTCTTTTCTGTGTAAGTTTCTCCTTGCTATTTGTTTCTGAAACCTGAATGTATTTGGTCCTCTGCCAATCAGATTTCCACTAGTCCTCCAAAGAGTCAGTTATTAACTCACTAATTCGACAGATATAGTTGGACGTTCACTGTATCCTTATTTATTTAGCATATATTTAGTTATTTATTAAGAAACTAAAGCCTATTCTATGTCAGAAATGAAAATAGGCCATGAGGACCCAATGGTGGGCAAAATGCAGACAGACTACTCTTTTTTCCCTCATTCTAGCATAGTCATCACTTTCCTAGGAAAGACCTTCCTAACCTCCAGACTCCACCAAATCCTCCTCCTGACCACACCCTTCCACCTTGATTTTCACCTTCTGACCTCTCTTGCGTAGAAATTCGAGCACTAGCCACTCTATAGCTTTAGCTTAATTTCTCCAGCCATGCAAGGACGAATCTGTGTTAGTGATGCCACAGGCACGTTTCCTTCCCAGCAAGAATATCACTTACTGGGCAGCATTTCTGTGGATACTACCAGAGAAAAATGTCCTCCTAGTTGAGCACCCGCCCCATGGCCGTAAGCATCCACCGGGCTCGAAGTGCATGGCCCGCCGCTGACCACTAGGGGGCAGCCCTCCACGCAGAGGCTCGAGCTACGGGGGCGACGCAGCGGCCACCGGCTCTGCTGAGCCCACCCCAGAATCAGAAGGAAGGGAGCCTGATTCCACGCGGGGCCTCCCCCGTGGCATACGTTGTTGTTAGGCAACTATTCGCCCCGAATATGGTTTATTGGAGACTTAGGGTTTGCTTTTCTTATCAAGTGCGACAGCAACCTGGCTGGGTCCCCTCTCGCATTCAAGAACCCGCAGAGACTCTGGGGGAGCCGGTTGGAGGCCCCATGCAGGCCAAAGCATCCCTCCGAGAAGGCGGGGTCGCTCACCTGGTAGGTGCCCCGAGAGCCCGCAGCACGGCCCAAGGTGGGATCCACCGATGGAACAGGAGACCACGGGCGTGGCTCAGGGCGCGGTAACCGCTCCCCGGGCCCGCCTCAGGGACGGCTCCGCCTCACCCCAGCCTGTGCCCCGCCTCCGGGACAGCCCGGTTTCCGAGACCTCCCAACCTCCGAGACAGCTCCGCCCCCAGAACAGCCTGGCCTCCAGGACTGGCCCGCCTACGGTACAACCCGCCTCCGGGACAGCAGGGCTGCACCTCCGAGACAGCTCCGTACCCAGGGACGGCCCCGCCTCCGAGACGGCCCTGCCTCCAGCACGGCCCCCACCTCCGAGACCGCCCCGCCTCCGGGACCGCCCCGCCCCGCCTCCGACACGTCCCCAGCGCACCACTGCAGAGCCAGTCCATCCGTCCCCAGGGATCCGCACTGCTCAGGGGTGAGTTTTCCAATCCGAGCGGGTCCTGGGTGGGGGCGGTGGCTGAGCACCTAGGGCACTGGGAGTCGCCGCAAAGTGCTAGAGGCCCCAGGCCATTCCCGGCGTCAGGGGGGGTCCCTCCCTTCTTAGGTCCAGGTCTGGTTTCATTTCGTTTTGTTAGTCTGGTGCTATTTGCAATTTGTGTCAAAACACATTTCTCCCTCCTATTTGAACTTGTAAATTATGAATTTGACAAAGATGAGCATGGTGTGTGCGTGCACGAGGACACATGTCCTTGCGGAATGCTGGGTCAGCTTTCCGGGACATATTACTCATCTGAGGTTTTTTTTGTCTGTTTTTGTTTATCCTGTCAAACTGGTTCTGCCTCAGAAGTGAAAGACGTCGCTTGTCTTTTGGAAAGTAGCTAGCAAGATCTTGAGCTCAGGCTTCCGGATCTCTCTCTCCGCTGCTTTTTTTTTTTCCACTGGTAACTTCTAAGGCTGAGATCATGTACCCGCATTCTCAGTGCTCTGCCGAGTATTGGCTCTCTTTTGTGAATTTCTTTCCCGCGAGCATTATTAAGAAAAAGGTGGTGGATAGGAAGGGAAGAGGGGAAGAGATGGAATTCTACAGGAAACGCAGGGCATGCTCAGAATGCCAACCTTTCTGAGCTTGGAGAGATTTCGTGGAAGAAAGTAGCAGGGAAAACGTCCAGTAATCACTGGGATGCCAGACCTTGGAGAAGTCAGGCTGAGGCGCTCTGCAAGTTTCACCTTAGAGAGAGTGGACGAAATGTAACGGTTCTTGTTAGAGTTCTTGTAGAGGACGACTGTGGATGAGAATACATCCCGGGGACTAAAACCAGATTGGTTTAGTCTAGAATGATTGCCAACTAAAGGGACTGATGTTTGAGAGCGATGGTGAGAGATTAACAAAATGAGGTGGTTGACTGCATATAGGAACAGGAGGAAGAAAGGAAGGAGGCACGTGTGGCTCAAGGGCTTGGTGTGTGTTTTAGTTTAGATTCTCCCCTAAAGCAAAGCCTTATGCAAGGGCTTACCTGCAGGTGATTTTTTTGCGGTAAGGGAGACCAGAAAGCCCAAATGAGGAAGTGGAGAGAATGAGACAAGGAAAAAGAGACAGCTGGGAGGGGCATGTGGCTGAGGGTCTTCCACATGGCGCTCCGTTCCATTGGGTGCCTTCCGAGGATCTCTGTGATGGGCCCCTCTGGAAAGCCACGGGACACTTTTCTATGACTCCCCGCTCTACTGGGCGAAGCTCACCCTGGTGTCAACTCACTGCTACTTCAGGGCTGCCCTGTGCATCTGCAGAGGTGAGAAGCCATCTGAACACAGAGGAAAGTCCCTCACAGTGGGCTCCTCCGAGATGCGCATAGGGAGGCGACACAGGCAGCCAGGGGACTACTGCAGGACTGCAATCTACAACACTGTCCTCATCAATCTGGGAAACTAGAAAGGACAGCAAAGGGACAGACACTCTCGTTTATTGCTTGCCCACTGTGTGTGTACCAACTCCAGACAAGGCATTTTTAGCCGTATTCTTTATTTTGTTTTATTCTATTCTATTCTATTCTATTCTATTCTATTCTATTTTTTGAGGCAGAGTCTTGCTCTTTCGCCCAGGCTAGAGTCCAGTGGTGCGATATCGGCTCACTGCAACCTCCACTCCCACCAGGGTTCAAGAAATTCTCATGACTCGGCTTCCTGAGTAGCTGGGATTAGAGGCACATGCCACCATACCCAGCTATATTTTGTAGATTTAGTAGAGACGGGTTTCGCCATGTTGGCCAGGCTGGTCTCGAACTCCTGAGCTCAGGTGATCCACCCGCCTCAGCCTCCTAATGTGCTGGGATTACAGGCATAAGCCACTGTGCCTGGCCCATCCATATTCCTTTAAACTTCAAAAACAATCTTCCCAGGGCTGTATTATTCTCTTTTTGTAGATGGGGAAACTGAGGCTGAAGTCATTTATCCAAGAGGAGCTGCTTAAAGGGAAAAATAGGCTCAGTTTAGGCACAGCAAATTTTAAAAGACCTCCGGAAACTGCAGAATGCTACCAAATAGAGGGAGGCCCTCTCCATTAGGGCAGACTTTATAAATTGGGGGGCACTTTCCAACTTATCAGAGCTGTCAGAAGAAATGCATGTTTTGACAGGTCTATGACCTTTCTGTTCAAAAAGATCAGGTACTGTGTCAACTCAGGCTCACGAACTTAACTACCACCTGGATCTACCAGCCCCACAGGATCTAGCCCCTCCTTCCCTCCTCCTAGGGTCCTGCTCTTCCCTGCCTCTGGCTCTCAGCCACCCCAAAGTGGTCTCTTTGCTGGAATGCTCTTTGCATTTCAAGTTTCAGCTTCAATGCCAGTTTCTCAGAGGCCTTTCCTATCACCCAATCTAAAATAATCTTCCAGTTCCTCCATATCACATCATCATGTTTTATTTTCATCATAGTGATTGCTGCATTTTATTTATTTTTCTATCTACCTATTTATTCTTCTTTCTTTCTCCTTCTAAAATATTCAACTCACAAAAAGGGAAACCTTATCTGTTTTGTTTCTTGCTGTACTCCCAGTGCTAGAACACTGCTTGGCCCACAGTAGAGAATCCAGTAAAATTTGGAGGTGAATGCATTTAGTTGTTTGCTTTTTTCACCTGTTCCTTCATCTGTTCTGACCAGCAGTGCATATCAGTATCTCTTAAATACATGAAAGTTTTTGCTTCCCCCTGCAGCAGCTGATAGAACCATGGCGACCACTGCCGCTGCTGCATTCGAGGCCCTCATGGATGGAGTGACATGCTGGGATGTCCCCAGAGACCCCGTCCCCAGTGAACTCCTTCTTATTGGAGAGGCTGCCTTCCCCGTGATGGTGAATGACAAGGGCCAGGTGCTCATTGCTGCCTCCTCCTACGGCCAAGGCCGCCTCGTGGTTGTGTCCCATGAGGGCTACCTGTTGCATGCGGGCTTGGCTCCATTTCTCCTCAATGCAGTGAGCTGGCTGTGTCCCTGCCCTGGGGCTCCCATGGGAGTGCATCCATCCCTGGCACCTCTAGTAAACATCCTGCAGGATGCTGGGCTTGAGGCACAGGTCAAGCCAGAACCAGGAGAGCCCCTAGGGGTTTACTGCATCAATGCCTACAATGACACCATGACTGCAACACTGATCCAGTTTGTGAAACATGGAGGGGGCTTGTTAATCGGGGGCCAGGCCTGGTACTGGGCCAGCCGGCACGGCCCTGAGAAGGTGCTCTCCAGGTTCCCCGGGAACAAGGTGACAAGTGTGGCCGGAGTGTACTTCACCGACACCTATGGGGACAGAGACCGGTTCAAGGTCTCTAAGAAGGTGCCCAAGATCCCACTCCATGTCAGGTGAGTGTCGGTTCCCCTCTTAGGGAGTCTGACTCAGGGTAAACAATAGAGTTGGTTCCCCTCCTCAACGAGCTTCCATTTTTCAATACAGGTGATTTTCCACCCAGTTTGGAACCACCACAAATCAAAAGCAGGATGATTAAAATGCACCAAGACACAAGAGAGGCGGGGCCCTCACTGCCACTCCCTCCTGTGGCCAAAGCTGAATAGAAAAGCTTGTCTTACTCACCACTCTATCTCCACATCTAGTACATAGAACATAGAGAGTGCTCATCGGTACCTCTTAAATGCGTGAAAGAATAGTTGTTTGTTTGCATGAGCACCTACTGTTGGTCACGCCTCATTCTGGATAATGGGGGTCTAGCAGAGATCGAGGCAGGCAAATCATGCCATCATGAGGTTTGTATTCCAGGGGAGAGATAGGCAATTAAGGAAACTAATATATATGTGCTCTGTCAGGCATTGCTAAAATCCATGAAGGATAATAATATAAGTGGATAGCATGACAACTGGAAGGCTGATGGAGGCTATTTTATTTAAGGTGTTCAGGGAGGTCCTATCAGTCAGGCCAAGTTGGATTGGTCAGGATTTGTTGGCATTGCTAGCAGAAGGGATTTAGTGTGGGGAATTGACTATACCCATGATAGAGGAGCTGAAAATACACACAGGGGACAGCAAGAAACCCAGAGATCAGCAACAGCAGAACCAGCAGAGGGAGATGGTGGTATTACTGCAGTCCGGGTGCTGCGGCCACCTGGTAGAAGCTGGAGCCATGCTATGCATTCCCAGCAGGAGCTGGAACACAGATGCAAGGTCTGTCTGCTGGGAGCTGGAGTCTCAGAGGAGACACTGTGGTTACCAGAAATACAGCCTGAAGAGAGAAGCAAACACTTAGCCTCCTTCCCTCTTCCTTCCTGATTTCAGTCTTCTACCTCTGCCTCCCATGGGCTGAACCCACCAGGATCCAGGGAACAGGGGAGCCACAGAAATGCAGTTTTCTGCAACACGGAGGATGACCAAGATGAAAGGGGAATGGAGATGAATACAAACAAGCCCATGGCTAGCTTGGAAGGCTGGTCTGGTAGGTGACACTTGCAAGGAGACCTCAAGGAAGTGAGGGAATGAACCATGTGGGCATCTGTGAGAGGAAGATTCCAGGCAGAGTGAGGAGCGACTGTGAAAACCTGGAAGGGAAGCCTGCTTGGTACGTTCCAAGGGAAAGGGAGTGGCCCTTCTGTAACGTCAGAAGGCTCTGCAAAGCCCCGGGGGAGAATAGCTGAGGCAGCTGTTCTGTGACCCTGAGGCAGAGGGCAAGGAGTAGGTACAAGTGAGTGTAGGGGAATTTGTCTTAATCAAACTTGTTTGAAGTTGTACAGGAGCTGACATTTGAACATCTGCACGCATGATGTTCTCTGAATGAGGAACAATAAATGTTAGTCATTTACGGATTGTGTAGGCTCCAGGCTTTCGGTATTATGCCTGCAGTAAATAAAAGCAAGCAGCTTCAGCTTCTTGGAGCTACTCTCTGGCCACTAGAGCCAGGCAGTCACCTAGCTGTTCTTACACTGCATACCTGTGTCTGAGCACTCATTTCATCCATCAGCCAGGGACACACCTGGCAATCAAGGAAGCCAGAATGATGGGAGCTCAGTGAATGACAGCTCAGGTCATGTAAGAACTGACAGGCCAGGAGTAGAACTTTAGATCTTATTTGCAGTGAGATGGGAAGGCATTTTGTATTCTCTACAGAAGATTGCTATGATGTGACTTAAATTTCAAAAGGAACCCTGTGATTGATGGTGGAGAACAGACTGTGGGAGGCAAAGGTGGAAGTAGCAGACCAATCAGGAGGCCACTGAGATAGACCACAGGAGAGATGGTGGTGGCCCAGACAAGGCTGCTAGAAGCTGTGGAGCTACTGAGAACAGGTTCCCTTCTGGAAACACCTCAAAGGGAGAACCCAACAGGCTTGGCTGATGGATTGAGTAAGGAGAAAGAGGATTTGAGACTTTTGGTCTGAAAAAGACAAAAAATTAAACACAGGTGCTGCTGTTTAGTGATCTTGAAAGGACAATGAGAAGATGGATTAGAGGAGATCAGGAGTTTCATTTTGGATGTTTTGGGTTTCAGATATTAGTGACTACTTACTTATGTTTGCCCACGTGTAGCAGAAGCCTTAGTATAGCAGATTAACCATGTAGCTGTTTATTTTTTCTATGAAACATGAGGTACGGGTAGGTAGTCCAACTCTGGGGCAGTGACTCCATGACGTCCCATGGTCGGTCTCTGTCTCCCTATCACTGCCTGCCCCTGTCATGGTGTGTTATTTTATCCTTATGGCTACAAGATTGCCACTACTACCCCAGGCACCATAATTACACCCATGCAATAATAAATTGGAATGGATACACCTACTTTAAGTTTATACAATCATACATTTTCTGGAAGTCCTAGACTTCTATTTATATTTTAGTGGCCAGCCTAGTTAAATCAGTAGTTCCTAACCTTTTGCTCCCAGGGACCTGTTTTGTAGAAGATAATTTTTCCATGGACCTGGCAGGGGTTTCAGGATAATTCAAGTGCATTGCATTTATTATCCACTTTATTTCTATTATTAGTACATTGTAATATATAATGAAATAATTATACAACCCACCATAATGTGGAATCAGTGGGAGCCCTGACTTCCAGACCTAACTACCAGAAGGTCTGAAGGGTTGGCTCTTTTTAAATGGGCGCTGGCGTCTCTGAAGAAATCAAGATTCTGTAGAAAGAAGAAGGGGCATTCAGATACTAGTGAGCAGCTGGCAGTGCCCCGAACCCCCAGCCCCGAACTCTGGACCTCTTTGAATTCCTTCCCTTCTGAGAGATTTGGGGAGGGGATGAGTTTTTTTCAGAGACATTAGAGTGGATCCGATTCACTTCAACTTTTTTATTCTAACACTAAGGAGGGACAAACAGGTGAAATCTCATCACCATAATGCCTCTTAATTGCCCCAAGGGACTCTCCTATTTAGCTAACTCAACCTGCTTTTCTTCATCTATACCTACATTTTTAATCCCTGCCACCAATTCTCAGGTATATTTTGTGTGTTTGTTATTCTAACTCTTAATTACTGAAAACATTAAACATATGCAAAAGTAGACAGAAGAGTACAATGAACCCCCATGTAGCCATTCCCCATCCCCAAAATAGTCAACTCCAGTTCTATCTTATTTCACCCATAGCCCCACTCTTCCCCACCCAAGATTATTTTGAAGCAAACAGCAGACATCATGTCTTTTCATCTGTAAGTATTTAAATATACATCGGTAAAGGTATGAAGTATTTTGAAAACATAAATGCAAGTCACCATTATCACACCTAAAAGAATAATTCTTTAGCATCATCATTTATTTCCATGATTGTCTTATTTTTAAAAATTTGTTAATGTTGGGCCAGGCGTGGTGGCTCGCGCTTTTAATTCCAGTACTTTGGGAGGCCAAGGTAGTTGGATCACTTGAGGTCAGGAGTTTGGGACCAGACTGGTCAACATAGCAATACTCTACTAAAAATACCAAAATTGGCTGAGTGTTGTGGTGCACGCCTGCGGTCCTAGCTATTCGCGAGGTTGAAGTTGGAGAATCACATGAACCCGAGAGGTGGAGGTTGCCGTGAGCCGAGATCGTGCCATTGGACTCCAACCTGGGCAACAGAGTGAGACTCTGTCTCAAAAAAAAAAATATGTTGACATTGACATTTAAATAAAGCCCAGATATTCTGATTTCCTGATACGAATTTTTTATCTCTTTTAAGATACACTTTTCCTTTCCAACTTTCTGTTTCTTGCAGTTTTGTTGCTATTGTTGAAGACACCAGCTACTCCTTATCAAACAGTTTCCTTCAGTCTGGACTTTGAAAGTAGACCTCAAGGAAGTCAGGGAATGAGCCATGAGGGCATCTGTGAGAGGAGGATTCCAGGCAGAGTGAGGAGCAATGGTGAAAACCTGGAAAGGCAAATTCATTGCCTTCCTATGGTATCATTTAAAACAGGGGTGCCAGTCTATGGCCTATGAGGAACCAGACCACACAGCAGAATGTGAGCAGTGGGTGAGCAAACAAAGCTTCATCTGTATTTACAGCTGCTCCCCATCACTTGCATTACCACCTAAGCTCCGCCTCCTGTTAGATCAGTGGCAGCATTAGAGTCTCATAGGGACACGAACCGTGTTGCAAATTGCTCATGCAAAGGGTCTAGGTAGTGTGCTCCTTATTGAGAATCTAATGCCTGATGATCTGTCACTGTCTCCCATCACCCCCACATGGGGCCATCTAGTTGCAGGAAAGCAAGCTCAGGGCTCCCACTGATTCTACATAATGGTGGGTTGTATAGTTAGTTCATTATATATTACAATGTACTAATAATAGAAAAAAGTGCACCATAAATGTAACGCACTTGAATTATCCTGAAGCCCCTGCCAAGTCCATGGAAAAATTGTCTTCTATAAACATGTCCCTGGTACCAAAAGGTCAGGGACCACTGATTTAACGTATTCATCTTTTCCTTGTATTTTCTGTATAATACAAATTAAAAGTTAGATCTCGATTTTAGGTCAGGATTGACAAACTTAGACCAGCCCCTGTTTTTGTGAATGAAGTGTTGTTAGAGCACAGCCGTGCCCATTCATTCACAAACTGTGACTGCTTTCAATCTCCAGTGTTTACCGTTGTTGAGTAGTTTTAGCAGAGACCACGTGACCCATATTTGTCTAACATATTTGTCAGGCCTTTTAAGGAAAACTTTCCTAACTCCTAATCTAGAGGTTTGATCAGATTCATGTTTGAATTTTTGACCTACTTTATCGGTGGTAGTATGCACTTCCATTGGATAGAACACAGTGGTCTAATTTTCTCTCTTACTGTGAGGTTGGCAGTCCTTAATAACCATTGCTTAGCCCTAGACCCATTAATTTGTGTTTATAAAATGATGACTTTAAAATTTTAATATTCTTTTTATTTG